GGGGGGGGGGGGGGGGGGGATCCCAATGTGATTTTGATCAGAAATGTTGCATTTAAATGATTTTGGGTTCTATGAGACACCATTTCCGCATTCTAAAAATTGTTGTTTTTTCGTCACGATACAGAAATAAATCAGAGAAGAAATATTCATGCTATGATCATGCATACATGTATTTAACAGTTAAAAATCTAAACTAAATCTATTCTTCTTGGAACCATATCTAAGTTCCTCCAGTATTACAGTATATCGTCTTTTTCCTCAGTCGAGACGTACTTAATCAGTTTCAACTTCGAGCATGTAACGTGTACCCCTCCCCCCCCCCAATTTCTCTACGGATTTAGCCTTTCTGAGAGAATGGTTTTTTGTGGCGATTGGGGGGGAGGGGGGCTCTTAATATAACTTGATATTTTTAAGCAATAAATTTGCAATGAAATCTCCCAAAACAAAACACAACGCCTCTGCGGACAGTGGCGGCGCCAGGCTTCCAAATTTGGGGGGGCATTTGAGGGGCAAACTCAAATTTGGGGGGGCAAGATAGAATTTTTAAAAAGGTCGCCCCCCCCCAGGAAATTCGCCCCCCCCCTCAAAACGTGGCGATATTCCTAGGAATATTGCCCCCCGGGGGGCGAATATCCTAGGAATATCGCCTCCCAGGGGGTGGGGCGAATACCCTAGGAATATCGTCCCTCTTTAGGACATTCGCCCCCCATATATGCGTTGTGGTTTATTCAAATAATTTCGTGATACTTTCATCTTATTATTGCCTTACACGTTTGAGAATTTAACTCTGCAAAACTAAAGCTTTTTTGTCTTTTTTGAAACGTATTATTGGAGTATTGGCAAGTTTTACCATTCAGAGATTTACAAACTAATATTGAAACTGTAAAAACAGTTTCATGTATACGCGCATTCACTAATGAGTAATGACAACTTATAAGCCATACATTTTCCGATAACGACAGAACGTTGTGTAGCCTTTAGTCGCTCTTAGTGACTAATAATTTTTTTTGAGGGGGGGCAAAATGGGGGGGCAAGAAATAATTTGGGGGGGGGCATTTGCCCCCCCTTGCCCCCCCCTGGCGCCGCCACTCTCTGCGGAGGAGAGTGCTAAATAGTCGCAAGGCTTGGAAAGGCTATAGCATTTTATTGGATTGTTTGCATGAAATCTATCGCTATTATGAAATACTCGGTGAAGAACAATATGAATTATACACAAGATGGCTGTGGAGGAGGCTATGGAAGGGCATAATCTCATTATCAAGTAAATCAACTGCAATTCTGACAGCAATCATGAGCAATTCTGCTTCGCACTTCGGGGGCAGAAATGGCTTTATGGGGGGGGGGGAAATTCTTTCCCTGGGGGCAATTGCCCCCCAGATAAATAGTTAAAAAAGGCACTGCGAATTTGTTCCCGCGGGCAGTTACGTTTTTTCATGCTCTCTCAATTTCCCTGTTTCCACGTGCCCAATTCGATTGAAAATCACAAAAATTCTTAATTAGCCACTTTTCAAAACCTGGTTAACCCCCATATTTATCATAATTTATGAGCCTTCTATGGATCCAGACCAGATTGATGGAACAAAGTTTATAAACAATCTGTTGCGAGTTTTGGACACATGTCCGAATAACGGCGAAATGCATGCATGCCCTCAGACACCAACCTCTGAACGAGATTCAGTCGTGCAAAGTTGTAATGATTCTATAGCAAATTTAGCACCAAGCCTCGACTTCGCGTTATTCTTGAGAACTATAGAGCATAATTTGGAAATAACCTAATACCGTAATACCTTTTACAAAACTAACGGATACAATTCACACTGACAACGATGCGTCCATTTTGATTTCAAACCTACCTGTACTTAATTAGTGCAAATTCTCGAATTATTTACACTGCAACTCTCGCACACATAACTTTCTCTTGTTGCTTGAATTTAATTATTAAATTCCGTTCACTGGTTTAAATACTGGTCTCAAAGCTAGCAAGGACTTGTGTGCTCTTTTCATAGTGATCCTTTTGCAGCACATCCACATGACCACATTGGCTCACTATTTATTTCTATCTAAAAATAATGGAACCAAATAGAAAACATTTGGTTCCATTCAAAAAGTTTATTTAGAAATTTTATTTATATATTTTTTTATATTTACTCGTTTCTATATTTACTACAATATAAGTATTTGCCATAGTATATATGAGTGATCCTCAAAGATCAAAGATTTGGCACTGTTGCATGATTACGTATCCAGATGACGCTTTTTGCGTCCGGGTAAATTGCATTTGAGTCCTTAACATACATGCAGCTGAGACTGAATATATAGTATGTCAAATTTAAGTGTTCAGCTGTTCAATCAGCATTCAATCATATTCACAATAGAATTGCTATGTGGTTTAATTAAATATGCAAAAGTTTCTTGAACCAATTGACAATAGGCTTCTACAGATTATGCTCGGCAACTTTTTGCATTTGGAGCAACTTTTTATGATATCAGCAACTTCAAGCAACTTCCTCCAGGAAATGCATAAAATTTGGAAATTTCTGGCAATATAGACCATGTTGCTAATTTTATTTATACATAGAAAGATAATGAAATGCTTGATAGCGTTGATCCACATTCTCTTCAAGCTCTTTTTCTTGGTCATATGAAAGAATAGCACGACAAGGCCCAAAATATTTTCCTTATCCTTGGCCATTTGACAAACTTTTTAGCTTACCTTTACTTCTACACTCTACAGTTTGGGAGATCCTATGGCAATCAGCAGATAAATAGTCAGAGGAAGTAAAATGTACTGTGATACATCTCAAACTGATTTGATGGCTTTTTAGCTATCAAGTTGTTATAAGACTTATATAGTTATGAACTATATAGTTAGTTATGAACTGTTATTATTGTATTTATCACATGCAGTGTTTAATATACGGTCATATCTTGCTTTGCACTTACTCGTTTACGAGAAACGTTTGACATTTTAGGAGCAACTTTTTTCAATTTTCGAGCAACCTTTGAGCAACTTATTCAATTTTCGAGCAACTTTTGAGCATTTTTAGAGCACAATTTCAGCATTTTCGTAGCATAATCTGTAGAAGCCTAACTGACAACCTCTATATACATATAGCTTGAGGTGCACCTATACATAAATATAGGAACTGTTTTGCCATGCGCTATCTCCGTAACTTCTGTACTCCACAGATCTTGTTAAAAAATGCCCAATTGGGTGGCATGGCTTCTTTGGGGGACTTCGAACCGGGGGCCCCAGTAAGTATAAAGGTCCTGGTCTGGTGCCAGAATATCAAAGTCGACGTTTTTAAGCGCTTGTTACCAGTCCTACAGTATAGGCATTCGCTGTACAAAATCAATGTCTTGAACGACTGTGGAATGTCCTGTGTATTATTTGTACTCATTCATGAATACAATTAGAGTGAAGTATAGCCAAAGCATAATGGCGCCCGAACTTTGCATCCAAGGTATCTCAGGATCAGAGGCACCCTTTTCCGCTTAGGTCGAGGTCCCATTAGACAAAATATACGCTGTACTGAATATCCAATTCTGCAGTCTGGATATGTAGAATTTGCTTCTTCCTATTCCCTTTTTCCGATTCACATTTTAACTTCCTGTAAACGAATTAAAACTTTTCTTCTGTAAACATATTCCCATAAAAGAGAATCCTGAATCTTACATGCTGATTTCCTTGGAGTACTTAACATCTTTCAATTCTTCCGCCACAATAAAACTGCCCCTTCCTTCCAGGATTGGACGTACAATTAAAGTTTCTTAATAATTTTAAAACTCTTCTTCTTTGAACATATTACCAGAAGAGGTAGAAAGCGAATCTTCAGCTTGAATCCTACATATTGATTTCCTCGGAGTACTTAACATTTTCTTGATCATCTCCTCCTCTGTATTTAGGTCTCCCTCTGTGTCCATCATACTTCCTCCTTTGCTGTCCATACTTACACCTGTCGACCTCGTACTACCCGTTATTACACTAGGAGATCCATTGTTGTCAACAGTTATACTAACAGGGCCGGAGCCTATGCTTGATTTCGAATGAGGTACATTAAATGTTACTCGTTTACCGTTCGTTCTTTGCGGTCTTACAGGCGGGCTGTTTAATGCCGAATTGCTTGTCTGTGTTCGACTTTGTGCTTGCTGTCCTGATTGATACTAAAAATAAAAACGAAAGCAAGATGGAAGCTGAAAAATAAACAAGGATTCGCTTGTATATAATTTGACTTGAAGCATAAAAATTAACACCGATATCGCTACATGACCAGTTTCCTGCAGTAGTAACACTAACGCCCGTATTCTAAAAGCTCACTCACACTCAATGAGTGGAGGTTCAATCTGAGCTCCTCTTGAGCGTCAATGCTGTTCTTGAATAGCTGGAGGGTGAGCAGTCGCATAGTAAGGTATGACACTGCCCCTCCAGCTATTCAAAAACAGCATTGACGCTCAAGAGAAGCTCAGTTTAGAAATCATACATGCGGCTTTCCAGTAAAGAAAGTTAGTTTAGTTTAGTTAATCTGCGAGTCTTTAATCGACATACACATTACCTGTTCTGTTAAAATGGCCTCTCCAAGAGGACTGGTGCGATAAAATGAAACAGCTTCATCAATAGTATTGAAATCTCTTCCACCAATCACATAACACTGACTTTGTTTCAAAATTGGATGATGGCAAACGTACTTGCCCGTACTAAAATAAAACACAAAGTAAAAAACTGAAACGTGGCACTTAAAAGTGGCAAGGGCCAAGGGGCAGGCAGATGTTCTTCATGAAAGTGAGATAATATCTACAGCATTAAAAAACTAAAATATTAGTTAGCAGCAAACAAAGTAAAGATAAGCCCTGATATTATGGATAACTAGAGGGCACTCAGAGACCGAATATACGTATCATGCATAAATTATACAGTGGGCTAATTCCGCATTCAGTTTACTCTGCGTGGGAAAGCAAGATAAACGTTGGCTAATTTATCGTCAATTTTCATCCAAATTGAACCAAAATTTAATCAATTTGTCCCTGGACTATTTCTGATAGTTCCACCAATTTTCGTGTTTATCACACGCTGGGTATTTTTTGTGTTATCGTGGTGACAGACAAACACAACGAACACACATACAACTCGTACAAACCCAGGTGAATACATAACTTCCTGTCGGAGGCAATGATAGAAATATAATATTCAAACAAGCAGGTAAAATATTGGCCACACAAATCTTGGCCAGATGGATGCAGAGAAACGGCGTCAATTGCAGTGTGTGTGTGGGTTATGCAGTCATCATGCAGTTGCCATGTTCCTAGCCATTACGCTAATGAGAGGCATTCACCCTGCATGCATGAATGCCCGTCATTTTGGAAGTTTTCCTGGTGCGGGGGTGGGGGCGGGGGAGGTTGACGACTTGTCGCACTGGTTCTAGAGGAACTTGGCAGCGGTTACGCTGACAGCAAAGGTGCCGACAAGGAGTCGGATATCTGCATGTACTCTGTGACAAAGTACTCGGATACCTCTGCCTTCCCTACTCCCCGCACATTTAGTTTGTAAGACAGAGCTTGTGGAGACATGATAATTTTTTTCCATATCGCGTATGTGCTATGAAAAGTGTTCAAAACGGAAAATCTTCTTCGCGTACCTCTTAAAATTGCTTTATTTTAGCTTTGTTCGCTGGCTTATACATTAGCTACCTTTTTAATTTCTTTCTAAACCGCAAGTGGTATGTTATACTCATTATATAGTTTTGAGCGCGTGTTACGTAACATACAGAAAGAAGTAATAGTAAGAACTTAATTAAAGCGTGAACCGATGAAAATATAGACTAGATATGCCCAGCAAAACCCTAAAAAAGAAGCCTCTTTTAAAAGCATGCTTCTAGTTAAGCACCATCAATATTCTTGAATTGACACTTGCAGAGTATCGTACATTTACTGACCATGCATCATACGTGCACGGGGCTGAACTTTTGCAGCTCCTTTTCCTAATCTATATTCAAATAATATTCCGATATTATAAAATTCTAAATTTTAAAATATTATTCGAATATTATTCGATAGTAACATGAGATTATTGTTATAATACCTCATAGATAAAAACATCTCCGACGTGACACTGTGAGAAAAAATAAATGCCCCTGCATACGATCCTTGAAGAAGATTCTCGGCGTCGTCTCGCGAGATACGAAATGGATTCCATCTAAAAATTTGAACAAAATATCAGTATAATAGTTTAAACATTGCGTCGGCATTCCCAACGTAGAGGGGTCAACATTTCTTCCCAAGGCAGGGCGGACTAGCTGTTTGGCCTTTTGTGACTGACTAGCGGCAGTGGTATTAAGTATTATATACGGTGGGTGACTGCTAATGTGTGTAGCATTAAGTATTGAATCAAGCCAATAAATAGTCGCGTCAACCGTGGCAGAAACTCCAATTCTTTGTGCGTGTTATCATTTTAAATAGTTGTATAATACAATCTAAAATTGTTATTTCAGGTCGCTCAAAATAGGGACTCAAGCTGACTCAAGTCCGAGCCAATGTGATTGGACTCGTTACAACACTGAATGAGCAATCCCTTATACTGATCCATGCCGTTATGAAAAAGGAAACTGGAGTGTCTGCATGAGAAAACCCACGGTGTACGGTCGAGTCAAATTGGAACTGATTGGAAGCACTCTTCTCACATATAAGACTGGAGTGAAATTGCAATCAAACAGCTACATTCTGCAAGAAACGCACTTTTGTTACAGAAGTGAAAAGCGCGCACATTACTTCTTAGGGAGCTTAATCAAGCGAACTTTTTGTCGACACAGACGCCAGGTTGCCGAGAGTGGTAATTTTCAACACATATGACAGAACATCTGATTTTTAAAGTTTTTTGATGTAGAATGCCGCCAAAATTTCTTATACAAATTTTCGGGTGACGTCCGTGTTAAAAACGCCACTCGCTATGCTCACTAATCTCATCACTTATCATGAGTGGTTATCGGATTTTAGTATTTTTGCATAAGTGAATATAACAAATCCTACAACCTGATTGGTCAAATTTGACGTACTTTTAAGATATTATATTCACCTACAGGTGAATATAACAAAACCGAAATTTGCAAAATGGCGGCTAGCTAGCCATTTTGTGCAAGTTTACTGATAAAGAAATAAGATAAATTAAAATAAAATTCAGTACCAAAAAACACAAAAGCTTGCATGTGTAAAAATACTAAAACAACTATTCGCCTCAGGCTCGGTGATTATCGGGGAATATAATCACCTTGCCTTCGGCGAATAATTGTTACTGAATATCTCGTATATAGTGACCTGAGCATGCTCACTTCAAACATGTCTAGCACAGTCTCGGGCATTTAATTATTCATTTCTAATTACTGTTCGCTAATACATCAAATTTTCATCTCTCCCTAACCTAGCTCCCTGTAAAAGAGCTGCTTAAACTCAGTATACAACTAACTTTTCCCAGGGTATCGATGCCTGATCCTGCTGGAAGCCCTTCCCTTCCAATATACAAATAATTCAGACCGTTTAATTCTCAGCAGTGTCAAATAAAAACAATATGTACTTAAATGTGTATTACATGTCAGTATATGCATGCGATATTACTCACAACGAGCAGTAAACAATCGCACTTGAAGCGCTCTTGGACTTGTTGGAGGAATCATCTTTCGTATGTCCGTCTTCACCACTCAGCCCAATAGACGAATGCTTCAATCCAAGTGAACAAGCGGTTCCCATCTTAAATCCGCATTATACAAACAATTTCGATGTTAGCAACAATCTAAAGGCCTTTAAATGCATTGTCATTGGCACAAAATTTACATCAAGATTAAAAACACTTCCTTTCTCAAAAATATATCGAAATACCCTTGAATATTAAATACAGTCTCTCCAAAAGACATCCCTTAATCCTGACTTTCGTTCTTGTAAATTTTCACACAGAAAAAAATTAATAATTTTACCGTTGTCAAAACGACGGCGTAGAGTCTAAATTATTCTGTTTGCAATCATACCCGCGAAAGCAAGCCAATGAAAGTATAATATAGCATGCTAATTAGGTACTTAAGCATGAATATCCCGATGATCCACTGTTGTCACCTTCTTGATACTTCTGCACTAAAATACAACCGAAACGTTTTAAAAGAACAAATAATTCAGTTTATTTTGTGAATTTTATGGACAAAAATCGTTCTAAATGCGCCATTATAATACAGCCCATTGAAGGACACTGGAAACTTTAATTTCGTCCGAAGTCTTTGCAGACAAAAGCAAATTTATTCTTATTTATCAAGCTCATAAAACTTATCAAGACATATCACGGACCGCACATGCAATAATTTCACTTCACAAACCGTGTTAGCAACAAAATATTGCAAATTTAGTTAAATTAGACGATATACTACATATTTACGGTGAAATAAAACAATAATTTGACACGATAGTAGCCTTGAATTTTTGCTAATGAATTGAACGAACCTACTGAACTTCAAGACGGATTAATTTAAGTTACACTTTCAGAGTAATTGTTACATATATATGAATAAACATAAAATCCTTATAATTTTGCTAGTGGTATTAATTTTCGTATTTTTTCTGCCGGGTAAGTTTCAATTATATTTTGTTGTAAATAATTTATATGTGGCAATATGCTTTTTAATTCTAGCCACTTGCTCAAATAAAAACCACATGCATTCTGATTATTGAAAACTCTTTTTTATCCATTTTGAAGGCACATGCCACAGCTGTGTGATCGTATCGTTATATAATATGCCGCAAAATAAACAGGATTTTTGAAGTTTTAAATCCAGTACAAACATGGACTAAGATATCTTAAACATTGCACTGGACGAACGTGTGAAAAGAAAACATAATTCATCCATAGTTCATCTTATAATACGTCCGGGATTAACGAGATTGGAAGGATCGTCAACAAACCAGACGGATCATCCGTCCTGAATAATATATAACTAAGATGTACCATTTGCACAACCAGAAATTGCAGAAATAAAATGAGTAAAAATCGAGAATTTTGGCCATCTCGCTCGATAGAATTAACAATTGAAGGGTAAATTTTGTATATGGAAATTTCCAGCGGAAGATTATATACAATTTTGGACCTAACCAGGAGCACCTGCGAAAAATGCAACTATATATATAGGCCCTCTGGCGGGTATCGAACGTGCGGCCCTGCGATTCCGGTGCAGCGCTCTAGCCAACTGTGCTGCAGAGTCCAGTTGTCGAGCTCTAACCACAAGTTCTTGTGTATATGATACTGGAGAGTTTGAGCTGCAAGACAACGAAGTATACGAAGACGAAGGCGTACTTGACAATTTTTGCCGTCTGCACATTATCTTGCGCATACTGAGTTGGACGTCACTGGCGGTTGTTCAACGTTTCTTCCCGTGTGTCGCTGTTTATGAATACTGACCCTAATTCTTGCCCTGACCCAGAAAAAACAGCGAGACATGAAACTACAGTATATTCCGTCTTTGTCCTTCTGCCTTCGTTCGGAACGAAGTTCACAACGAATGTTGCCAAAATATTCGTTCCGAACGAAGGCATGCAGAAGAACGAAGACGGGATATGGATTCATGTCTCGCTGTTTTATCCTGATCACGGTAAGGACTTGGGTCAGCATTCATAAACAGCTAGACATGAATCTCTAATCTGTCTTCACGCCTGATCCTAAACTCAGAATGCGCAAGATAATGTGCAAGACAGGCAAAAATCGTCAACCACGTCGGTCGTCGTCCGACTTCGTTCTCTTGCTCAAACTCTCTTATAGTGGATGATGCAGTACTCGGTAGCTCAGTTGGTTCATAGCCTATCGAAGGGAAGATGGCTGTGAAACTCATTAGAATAACAATATAACTCATTATCTATGTTAGTCAACATTTATTCATAAATCTGGTCGTTTCACCGTCACGTGTGTATTGTATTTTTACCAAATCCACCAATAGCAATTTCCAGTTTCCCTATTGTTCGAGTCACGGATAGGTGACTTTCCTAAAACATTGCTATTGGTTAGTTGGGCAAGAATACAATACACACATGACGGTGAAGATCCAGATTTATGAATAAACATTGGCCAACATAGATAATTAACAGTTATTCTACGAACTCGAGTCGAATATGAGCTGATAGCCGATGAGGCGCGTAGCGCCGAATCGGCTATCGCTCATATTCGACGAGAGTGAGTGGAATAACTGTTTTATTGTATACACAAGGTCTGAATTCACAGACTTTGCTTTTCGAATATTTTCAATATTTTTCTATTTTGTTTATGTTTTTATCTTCGCTCTTTCGGCCGATTATTTTAAATTTTAAATTTAAAAAAAAAATTTTAAATTTTAAAAATTTATTTGCTAACCTGAAAACTATTTGTGGGAGTCTTTTCATTGTGTTTTTAATCCTGTAAAGGCTATAAAAAGCGACAACTTGCCGTTTTCTCGTTTGCAAAACATCGTAAATTCAGTTTGGCCGCCATTTT